GCAATTTACGATTTATTTGCAACGTGATATACGATCCATTGAGAAGGTGTTTAAAAGTGCAATAACTTATTTTATATTCAACGGAAGGTCTCTGTGTGTTTGTTTGTTGTTATTTATGGCATAGTGGTTTTACCTACTGCATTTTTATTTCTTCTTAAACGAAAATGTTTGTGTTGCAATTTAATTAAAACCAAACTTAAATTTGAAGCTTTTCTTTTTTGTTATTGGTAATTTCCGTACCCTTTGTCATTTTCAATATTTTCCAGTTTAATTAGTTTGAAATTACACAAACAGCATGCACATTACTCTACATATGCGTTGGTGAAAATGAAAAATGCATGAAAATAATTTTCCATTCCCATTTGGATTTTCAATTTGCCATTTGTGCAATGCAACTGACAGTTAAATTATTATTATTATTATACTTGTTAGTTGACTTTAACCGGTGGACTCTCGATATTATTATTATTGTTATTATTGTTGTTAGTTAGTAGAAGTTTTGGTTCGGTGTCAGTTTGAATTTTTTGTTGCGGTCATAGAATTTATGGTAAATTAAATTAGCCTGATTGGTATATGCATTTTTAATGACATCACTTCAATCCGATTCGCCTGTCAGGCAAAAACCACCCGCGTGCCATTTGGTCAGCGTTTGTGTGTGCAATGATAAATTAATCAAATGTATGTTTTTATTACTTTTATTTAATTCATTCCCCCCACTGATACACCCCTTGGGGAGTGTAAATGAAAATGCCCCTGGGGGAACTTGAATAAAAATGTTTATGTTATAATTATAGGATCAAGACAGACGACTCCAAAGTAGGTGAATGTCGAGGGGGGATGCGTATATAAAAATTAACGCTAGGAGCAAAGTCTTCCCTTACTTAACTCACAATATTTATATTAGACAAATATGGGTGGGGGGTCATATGAGAGTGTAATAAATTTTTATGAAAAACATATACAAACAAACACATAAACGAGGACCCAAGACCAAATTCAAGGTGGAAGCCACACTTTCATACGTGACCGTCTATGGAATTTTGGATGGATGCCCCCATAAAAGTGAAAATAAACAAAGGAAGTCTAAGAAAAGGGATAGAAATTGGTATGCAATCAAAGCTCATGATCTGGAGAATTTGAAAATATTTGAAAAATGTTTGAAAACTATTTTAAACATGTTTTATTTAAACTCTTGCAGTTTTAGCCCTGTTAGACCCTGATTCTTAATGTATTCTGCACGTAAAGTTACTATAAATCAATTGGATAAACTAAGCCAAGTTTCTACTGATTAAATCTCTAGAAGTTTAAATATTTTAACACACCTTTTTTAAATAAGACTTATTTTTAATAAATAAAAGACTGATTAACTTATAAAAAGCGTGTACATCAATGTATAACATTCTCCTTTGCCAAAAGAGTATCCTATTCCCAAGAGGCAGCAAAAAGTACAATAAAACAAATTTATATCTTCTGGAATATATATTCATATATATACATATATACAATAATAAAAAAATATCCAATAAACGTGAAAAAAACCAACACAGTTAAGTGTGGCCAAATTAATGGACATCGAATGAAGTTGACCGGCTGTCATAAAGCGTTCATAATTACTTTTCACACCGGGCGGCGTGACGTATGATTTCGAAGGGGGGTAGGGTGATGGAGATGGGGCGGGCAAACAGTCGGCAAAGATCAAAAAATATATATATACATATTAAAGCAGGAAAATATTTCAAATAAACAATCATAAATTTCTATAAACTCCAAGGTGCGAGTAGTAGACATTCGTGGGGCTTAGAGCGTATTGCCTATGACATTTGTTTATTTATGGCAAATGACAATAAAATTTAATAACTTTGACACAATTTAATTATATTCGATTTTTTTTTTTTTGTTGTTTTTAGTTTTTCATTTCCAATATGACAAAATAAAAGAGGAAAACAAAAAACACGCACACAGAAACAACAACAAATATGGAAAGCCAAACAAAAATCAACACAACATAAAATTTTTATATTCGCTGGTGGGTGGGTGTGCAGGGGGGGGGGGGTGGTCCCATAAGCAAACATATTTATGAAATCTACATATATTTCTTTCCTCTCAAAATTTTTTTTGTTTTATATTTTTGTTTCCTGCTCCTCTGCCATATGCAGAGGGAAAATTGAATTAAAATTCAACGAGGGCAATTTACAAAATTAGTTTTGGGAAAAAGCATACAAAACGAATATGTATTTACAAAAACGACTAGCGTTTTTTCATTAACCAACACTGGCATTTCCATCGGAATCTGGTATCAGAAACTCAAATCAAATCGACTAAATTAAGAGCTTTGAGGAATCCAAATCGAAAATGAAATTGATTTGTCATATTTGAAGCTGCGAGTCAATTGCATTTTTTGTGAAATGCAGAAGGTTTAATAGAAAGCGAAATAGAATCAATATGGGTCTTGATTTTATTTTATATTTCAAGTGAATCAAAATAGAGAAGTTTATTATGTTGTTAGTGGCGATGAAGGGTAAATTTAGGTCAAATTAAAACTAGTTTTTGATTTTATTTATGCAAAATATAACTGAAAGGTGAGCCTAACTTTTACTTTACTATCTGAAAGATGCTTTATTTCTAGTTCTTAGCTTGAACTGGTCATACTAAACTGCATTTATAATCAGTCTGGTCACTCTTGTATAAAAACTAGCTTATATTATACAGTTAATTATCTAATTAACATTTTAATTGTGTTATGTATTTCTGATATTAAATTAATGTAAATATTTCCTTTACTAAAATTTTCGAAAACCACTTCAACAACCCATGCAAAGTTAACACAATTCCCTGCTTCACCTGAACCAGTCAAATTGACAGAGTTATTATAGTCTTTATGCGTATAAATGTATATGTAGGTAAATATATGTTTGCTCATGTCGGCCAGCCAAAAAACCGCAATTGAAATGCAAAATATTGTCCACACATAAATATTTGAAAAATGAAATATGGAGAATGAGACAAACAAAAAAAATCAAAATGCAATGATTGAAAAATGAAAAGGCATATGGAAAAAATTAATTTTGAATGCGCTACGCTCACTCTCTTTTTTTCCATTGGGGAAATGTCCTGTCTGCAGTAGCTTTTAAAATTGTGACAACATAAAATAATTGTTTAAGGTCCAAAAATAACAATAAACATGATAGCACATGGACTCCAAAACGCAAAAAGCAATTTGCAATGCACCAAAAACCAAAAACCGAGGCCCCAACTCCATTGGGGAAAGTCACAGTAAGTGAGTGAGAGAGAGAAAGATTGTGTGTATATGTAGGGGTAAATTTATTGATTTCCATATATTTATTTGTGTAAAATGCCATAAATTACAATTATTTAACAGGGCCGGACGCAAAGTCAACGCGCCGGACACTCACTACGAGCTCCCTGTTCTGCCCTACTCCCTGCTTTTCGCTCCGTATAGTTGGGTCAGTAGGACCGCTTTGTTGTTGCCACTGCTGTTGCATAATTTGTTAGCCAAATTGCAACTCAACAGGCCCGGGCCCGGGCCAGGTACACTCGTAGAGCCCTGATATCGAAGGACCCGGTCAAACAGAGCCTGGCCTGGCCAGGACTTGGCCTGCCCTGCCCTGAACTGGCTCATCAAATATGCAAAATTTTGCAAGTCCTTGCAGCAATTGCAATTAGGGATGAGCCCTGGCAACGATTCACAGTGACTTTTATAGACAATTGAAGAAGCTACATTATAAGTATTATAATTATTTGAATATTGTTTAAATCTTTTTTGTATAAATATTTCTTAAGCTCATTTATTATGGGAATATTTTTGCTAACTCAAGTCTCATGATATTTCACTCACTCCCATCTGTCTGTGAATTTTTGTTTAGCATTTCTCAATCACTGAATTAACACGGCATTCACTCAGTCATCTCCAATCAGTTGAGAAGGAGCTCCCAAAGTATGTGCTAGCCACGCCCCCTTCACAGCCACACCGCCCCCTTTGCTAACTGTGTTCTCCACATTCCAGAGCCTGAACCTGAGCCTGAGAGCCTGAGAGCCTGCTTCTGTTTTGCCTGCCTGCCTGTCTGGGCCTCCTTTTGGAGGTCCTGATCAATCGCTTGGTCATTTGTTGGCTTTCCCCTATAACCGTGTGTGTGTGTGTATCATTATCCTTGCGTGTCCTTTGTGTACGCCTGTGAGTGCAGACTATTATGTCCGAAGCTTATTAACTGCGGGTCTAGCAAATGCAATGCAAATAAGCAAATTTTGTAATCAAAAGAACGATTTTCATATTTAAGATGGCACAGCAGAGCCACAGAGAGTGTGTGTGCTGTGTGTGTGGTGACAAGGGGGTAATAAATGGGGTTAGCAGAGAGCAGAGGGGAGGTGGGTGGAAATTCTTGCCAAAAAGGAGAAGGGGTTTTAAATTAAGTGGGGGAAACCCCCATGCCTTCATCTCGCACAGAGGCATGCACTTAATTTGGCAATTGTCTCCGGACACACACAGACACAAGATATTTCGTATTGCCAGCATATATTTATGGTATGTGTGTTGTGTCTGTTTATCTACCTTTATACCCCACACACCCCCACACCGCACACACGGACATGAGCGCCTGCCTGTCTTTGTCATTAATATTAATTTCGTGTTTAATTTATTGTAATTTACGTGCATTTGATAAATCGTGTTATTATAATCAGTTGACTGGAAACGTGAAGAAAGGACAAACCAAGCAGGGGTTACACTTTAACAAATTAGATATTCAATAAGAATATTCTATATTTAGTTATATATATTTAACCTAAAAAATTACTAAAGTGCAACTTCCTATACACATCTTCCAAACTTCTGAAGAATATCATTTTTCACCAACTGAAATCTAAGACAAGAAAAATATTCTACGTGTAGGATAAATATATAAAGAGTGTGGGTACAAATGCAGGTTTCTCTATCTATATGCCCATGACAGGCTGTCTGGGACTTCAATCTAGGACAGACTTACCTCAAATTCCAAAAAAAAAAACCCCACTTTAAGTGCGGGAGTTCTTTTAACGATTCCAATTCCCAGAAGCCGACTTTAACTTTAAAAACTGCAATGAGAGTAAAGAAAAGGAAAATGTGGGTTAATTTAGGTGTATTTATTCATAAAAGAAAATCGATACAAGGGTTCAATTATTTATTGCTTCAGGTTTCGGAACTACAATTAAAGTTCTATTAAAAAACAGTTATGAAAATATAATAGGTAGTGTTCTTAATCGTCTTTTAAAGAGTTGAGAGAATTAGTTAGTTAAAACCACAAAACAAGTAAGAAATTGTTTCTCAACATTTTGCTAGCTTTAATTGTTTTGATAACTGATAGAAATAAGGAAATAATGATAATGTGTATTAACATATAAATTATATAAATTTTTTGATATTACAAACTTGAAAAGTACTTTAGAACATTTCACCAGCTTTCAATCTTTAAATTATTTGGCAATATCTACGAATTCGTATTCGAAATTCAAAGAAATCACCAATTCCGCCAACACTCGATGCCAGCCAACTAATATTTATGAGAATCGCATAGAAAGGACCAAAAAGCACTTGACAGGGATTCGAAGCAAGGGGAAAGGGTATCGTTGGAGAGAAAAAAAGGAAAAAGGGTAGACGAGGGTAATGTCTGGGTAATAAACATTTTCCTCTCGTGTGCGAGAAATGCTCGAGGACAAGTGTCGCATAAAGGAATTCCCCTTTTCTTTCTCTCTCTCACTCTCCTTGACTTGACTTGACTTGGCGCTCTCGATTTTTCTTTGTGGAATGCATTTTTATAACAAAATAATTATATTTATGCCACGGCGGAAGAGAGGGAGGGGGCGGCGGATAGGGATATGTGCATTGGCCATTGCACAGAACGCATTCAAGTCGAAGTAATGCAAAAAGGCGAATCGCATTCAAGCCCCGATTTCGATATATCCAAACCGAATCATGGAAAATCCGCCCTCGAAACCGATTCCCCCATTTTCTGCACATAACGGCATCCATTACACGCAACAACAACAAAAGCAAAATGGCGTCTGGGGCGACAATGTGTGCTGCATGAGTGTGCGTGTGTATGCGTGTGCGACTCTTTTGTGTCTGTATTGTCGTTGAAATTATTTTTATTATTTTACACAATTTTTATATGGAAAAAGCACCAGCAGCAGCATCACATCCAGGGGACAAGCGCAAAAAAATTAACTTTTACAGTCGGGCATAAATATTTAGTATATTGTTCTTGTTGTTGCCTGTGTTTATATTGTTGTATTTAATGAGATTTTTGAACTTTTCTTTGGCATAAGCGCCTTAAGCGTTCACTTCTCAAACACACAAAGCAAAAACACTTTACAGAAGCCACAAAATGGAAAGCAAAACAAGAAACATTCAAGAAGTTTTCTTTTTTTTTTCTTTTCTTTATAATGTTTTTTTTTTCACCCCCCCAAAAGGGAGTGTGAAAATAAAATGGGAAGCAGGGCTTTTCCTACAAGTGTATAATATTAAAATGCTTATTGGAAAAGCAATAAATATATGCATGTAATATCAAAACAGAAACCTTTTTACAATATAAAATAATCATAAAAATGAATTGTGTCATTAAGATCTTAATCGTAACTCTGTGTCATCATTTAAGATCTTAATTTTCCGGCTTATCTAAATCTTAACATCTAAATGACTTCAAATTGCATTATTTTCAAACATAAATTCGAAATCGTATTCCCATAATCATGAAATCAATTTATTGTCATCACATTTAAGGCCATTAGTTAGAGACACGATAAGATCTCTGATTCTAATCTCGAATGCATTTGTCATTCAACCCAAAATCGAATCAGAGCAGATCGAAGACCAGTTTGTTTTTGGTGTGTGGGTTGTTGTGCAACCCGGATCGCTTAAAATAATAATAATAAAAACGAAAAAAACCGGTGGCGAGACTGAGACTCCAACGCATTCATTAGTTCTCATTAAGAGACAAAACATTTTCAGCTTCAAGCTTGCTTTTCGAACGATAAACAAAGCATTTTTCAAAGCCAAAAGCAAAGGTTTATTGGCATCTCTAATGAACCTCTATTAATAAATAAAAGAAAAAGGGAAAATTGGGAAATGGAAAAGAAAGAAGAGTTGGGTGGTCTTGAAGATCAATAAATATAATAGCAACTCTGGCAATATACTGTTATAAATATTTAAGGATAAATCAATGCATTTTTGATTGGGGTTTCAGTTTGACATTCCCTTTCCCTTTTTCTGTTACCAATTTCCCCTTTGCAAATATCGATTAAAGTTGGTATACACCCTTAAAATTCAAAATACACACCCTCAAAATTAGTTCAAAAGTCAAACCGGGCAATTAAAAACCTAGAAATGCATATTTTTTCCATCTCCCTCCCTCCCCCCACAATTTATGAATTATGCAATTGAGGAGGAAAAACGAGCAGGGAAACTGGTTAACAGGGAAACTTTCCCAGTGGAGGAGGACATGACATAAGCGTTTAAAAAGAAAAATAAAGGGGGACCAGAAAGAGTACTCTAGAAAAAAACAAAAACGAAGCCAAATATGCGACGACCATAAAAGGAAACCCAAGACAAATGCAGGACCCCGGAGCAGGCACACTTACTATAAGGTTATATGATGGGATATATATGTATATTTAGCTGGGGCATGGGGGAAATAGGGGAAAGGGGAGAGCAAAAGCAAACATGTGACATATGCGGCAATTAATGCCGTTAATTATTAAAGTTAACACCCAAAAGCGACATGCACAAGTCAAATAAATAAACACGCAGCAGGCAGGGAAGTCAATGGCTCTTGGCCAAACCAAAAGCCAAGCCAAAGCCAAAGCCAAAGCCCTCGCTTATGTACATATGTCTATATATGTCTCCATATATATGTATGTATGTGACTGTACAAGAACGTAAATGAAAATGAAAATGAAACGAAAAACCCCCCCTCAAAAACCCATAAAATGTCAGCCCCTGCACAAACGCCCCAACAATTAAGGACAATGCGTACTAATTTCAAACGAAAACTTCAACGTGGCCAACGGGGGGAGAAAAAAAAAAGCGGAAAAAGGGAATCCGGAAAAAAGCCAAACAAGGAATTTAATCGAGAAAAGCTAAAAGCTGAGCAACGAATTATGGAATATCCTATAGAGAGTGTTCTCTAAAATCAGGGAATTATATTACTTAATTAACTCTGGAGAGTGGTGTATATTTTAATTATATTTCTACAAGAAAATAAAGTAAATAAATGAGGTAGTTCTTTGGTGAATTCTATAATCTTTCCAATCGAAAAGTAAGAATCAGGACACTATTATAATTAATAAACTCAGCAGAATGTTATATATTTAAAATATATTTCTACAAGAATATATAGTACATAAATTATACAATTCCTTGTTCTATTCTATTATCTTTTTATTTAAAATGAAGAAAGGATAAAGATAAAGGGTACTAAATTACTTAATAGGCTCTTATGATTAATTATATTTCACCAGAAATTTATGGTAAATGAATTATAATAAATTATACAATTATATATATTTTAAAAGTATATCTCCAAGAATATTAAGTAAATAAATTAATCTAAAATCTTTTCGTTTGAAATAAAAGTAAAAGAACAAGAAAATTAGAGAATTATTATACTTAAAAAACTCTGGAAAATTATATATATTTTAATTATTATATTTCTGCAAAACTATAAATAATAATATATAGTAAAATATATACTACAAAAATTAAACAATTGTAAATTATATAACCTTTCCATTTCCGCCTATGATTTGTCATACATCTCTAAGGTCATCTTTACCTCGATATTATTCTTAAACGATGACGCGGATGGGCAATTTCGAAATAATAATGATTTTTATTTATAAACTGGCACACAAAAAGAGGTGTGCAGGTGGGGTTAACTTTCTGGCTGGCTTTAACCCATGCGTGCCGCAAAGAACAAGAAGAAGCCGCTTGTTGGGCAAGGACAGTTGGCACATAAATAATTTACACGCCCCGGCCCGTACTGCTGACATAATTTTTTCCCTCTTCCAACAAAAACAACACCAAAAAGTATACAAAAAATACAACAAAATTAATACAAGGGAACCCACAATTAGGGGCAGGTTTTTTCGGGTATAAGGGGATGGATTTTTTAGTAGGGGTCCTTGAGGGGGAGAGTCGGGTTGGTTGGGCTCCCTTTCTGGTTGACAGGGGGCAGTGCAATGCATAAGCAAACAAAACTTTGGCAATTTTGTGCAACTTTTTGGCTTCCACATTTTGTATAGAAAGCATTTTTTCCTCCCTTTGTAAATGTGTGTGTGTTGAGGAAATTATGTTTTTGAAAACAGGAAAACCTTGGCAAGTTTGGTACGAAAGGAAGGTCTTTGTTGGCAAGGCGAAGAGAAAGAGGTAATTCCATTTTAGAATAAGCTTTGCTTAGGTCAAATCAAGTTTAACTTTTTCATAGACTACAAAATCGAGTTGCTGGGAGTTAACAAGTCGTTCCACAAAGAGTATATATACTATATATATAAATATATATTTTTATATGTGCATATGAGAAACACAAACCAAGCTTTAAGTTTCCAAAGAGGATTATATGGGCTCTAAAAAATTGTTAAAATTTGTATTGTTTGATTTTAAGACTTAAAAAAAATGAATGTAAACTTAAAAGGTTAGCTTAATTTGTAGGTTATTTTTTCATTCTCTTAGTTAGACCCCTAACTATACCTTTGGAGCCACTCAATTAAAGCCACGTTTCTTCATATTTTTTCATCGTTTCACAACTTTTTATTTGTCTGTTTGTTTTTTTATGATATATATCCATTTTTTCTGGTTTTTTTGTAAACTGCTTGCCACTTAACGGGCGCATAAAATGCCAATAAGGATGATGGCGGGAAATTTGAAGGGACTACAAGGAGGGTGGGGGAAGGACACTGACGATGAGCATATGATTTTCAATTTTTGCCACAAATCCAGACAAACATACAAACACACACAGGCAGAGAAGCCTAAACTTTGTTCTCGACCAAAGTGCCAATGGGATATGCCAAACAGGACTTGCACTGAGAAGAAAATATGG